CACCCCTCACTTCCAACTTTCATTTTTTCATTTTTTCCTTTCTCTGTAAGTACAGCCCCCCTCACCTTACTAATTCTGGGCCTTCAAGGGTTCAGGCCTAAGAAGGGGATACTGTCATATCCATCCCTGGCCATCGACTTCTGGTCCCTCCGTTCCCTCCGGTCTAACCCTGCTCCTCCTTCATTAACCTCGGAGCTCCTGTATTCCGCAATTCTCTCGGCACCCCTCGATGGTCACCACCCCCTCATTTCAATTTATTACCTATGCTGTAGGCGGGCACAGCCGGTACCACGCAAACAAGCCGATTATCGCGATTCTACCACCCACGTCAAGCACCCCACTCCCGAAACACATCTACCACTGTTCCATATATCCCTTCCACGTTTTCCATATTTCTTTCGATTTTTTCAAGCCATTCCTGACCACGGACAACCATCAGTTTCCAAATTGGGTAACTGTCACCCGCATATTCCACCGCTTCCTCTGTATCTCCATCAATTCTCCACCGATCCGGACGAATTTGGTATCGTTGGAAAGCCCTTGTCAACACAAGTCGAATAATGTTACGAGTGATGCATTTGGTTCAGCGGTTGTTCCGATCGCCATGGTTCTTTATTTCCTTAACAACATCAATATTTCTTTGATATTGCTTTTTTTCTTAAGTGTTCCTTGTGGATCTGTTGCCGTCCTAAACCCGTCGGATCATTCGGATTTCCACGTATTTCTTTCATATTTATAGTTACCCTCTTTCCTGTATTTTACAAAAAAAAGGACTCCCCCAAAAACAGAGAGGTGCTCCCAAACGAACATGAAGTTCTAGCAGACATTACCAGCGCCCAGAGCGGCAAATACGAAGCCAAAGAGGCTCAAGATATAGTGCAGGGACAGAGTTCCCATCAGTTTGATTTCTAGTGAGATTTACGAGTTTTATCATTTTTTTTATCACATCGCACCCAGACCATTTCTCCCCCCCCTTCCTCATCATCCGAACCTCCCCTGAGCATTCCCAACACTTGGTCCCCTCTCTTTCTCGTTAGGGTGGTAGATCCCTTGCCCCCTTACAACGCCTCCCTAAGTACGGAGCCCCGAAGACTTCCGGACAGCTCCGGCGTCCGCTAGCGCACCCCCACCTCTGCTGGGCAATACAATCGCCTGCCCTGCAGAGCCTACCTTCAGGCTTATCCCTCCTTCCCGTTTCTGGGTTAACGCCTGCCTCTCCGCTAACCCCGCGACCCGACTCGTCGGTAATATTCAGTTGGCTAATGATTAACCCTGTTAGCTCCGCTCCGTCCGGCTCCGCCAATTGCGGACCCGTCTTCACTGTAACCTTATATATATATCCCGCTTGTACATAGGTTACACCCCAGTAGTAAAATCAACTAGAGTTACCCCCCTAGGTTCTATTCGCCAGTCAGTAAGTTAGGGCACGGACGTGTCACTAGGCACAGCGCTCTTGGCAGAAGTCGCTGAGGCCAAAGCCCTCCGTTACGGAGACATCCCTTCATCTCGAACCCGGTCTCTGACATACTGAGCACTTGATTGGAAAAATCGATGCATTATAAGATGAGTATGTAAACAGACCAGTTATGGTACCTGTCAGAGACCAGATCGAGATGAAGGAATGTCTCCATGGTGGAGGGCTTCAGCCTCAGCGACTTATGCCAGGAGCACTGTGCCAAGTTACATGTCCATGCGCTAATTTACTTACTGGCAACGAGAACTAAAGGGGGTCAACTCTAGTTGATTTTTGTCAGGGCACAGCCCTTGACCCCACTCACCCTCAGACACCCTCACCCTTCTCTTAACCACCCTCTCTCCACATTTCCCCATTCCCCTTATCCTTCCCCCCACGGTTTCACATAATGATGCGCGCACGCGAACCTGTGGGAACGTTCTGGGCGAGTCACTCGCCCAGAAATGTACAGCCACAACCGTGGGAACATTTCGCCCAGAACTTTCCCACGGGTCACACCCGTTATGGAAAGTCGGCAGCAAGCGGGAACTGTATAGTTCCTAGGGTCCTTTTGTGTCAGCCTCACAGGGGGCTGAGAAGCTTACCCTTCTTCTCAGCTCATTCCCTGTGAAGGCTGAGGCCAGTCCCCTCAGTGACTTCGAGGAGTTAGCACCTGGGGAGAGTACCCCAGCTTCCACACCTGGCCTCGCCCTCCAGCCACTCCCAGCTGGGGTCCGGATCCTGACAATTTTATTACTGAGGTGTAACCTATGTACAAGTCAAGTATATATAGTTACAGCGGGGGTGGGCCTGTAAATGATGGGGCCAAGTGGAGTGGAGCTAACAGGGTTAAACATTAGCCGATTGAATATTACTGACAAGTCAGGTTACAGGGTTAGCGGAATGGTAGGTGATAACCCAGAAATGGAAAGGAGGGATAGGCCTGAAGGTGGGCTTGCAGGGCAAGCGAGTGTATTGCCCAGCGGAGGCAGGAGTGCGCTGGCGCACATTGGAGCTGTCTGGAAGCCTTCAGGGCTCTGTACTTAGGTAATATATTGAAAGAGGGGGTGGTGACCATCAAGGGAAGTGGAGGTGATTGCAGAATACGGGAGCTCCAAGGTTAGTGAAGAAGGAGTGGAGGTAGTCCGGAGAGATCGGAGGTAGTGGAAGTTGATGGCTGTGGATGGATATGACAGTACCTCAGTGAAAGGTTCTGCTTACTATTTGAGGATGGTAACATTCTGTCCCCCCATTTGCCTCAGGCCTCAGTTAGTCTGTCTAAACATAAGCTTTGATGAGCTGTATATTCAATGGGGTAGAGGTAAAAGGCTGCTGGGCCTTTACAACTACTCCAAGGTATATATATGTAATTTACATATCTCAGCACAAATAAATAAAGAAAGAACAGCATCTCTATAATGGGAATTATAGTGAAGTAATGTTAATCCCTTACACTCAGATTGCAGATCCTGGTGACTCTGCAGATTGTGCATAGTAGTGCCTTCTGGGGCCCAACTTGTAGCTTATTGACTGCTGTTTGATTAGGAATGAAGGTGTCTTTAGGGGCCAGCCAACAATGCTTGTTGATCTGTTCAATTAGCTTGTCCCCTGTCATTGCAGCAATCACTGTAGCATCCAACTGGAGTACAGTACTCTCTAGTTTCTCCTCCACTGTCAGGGCAATAGCCCCAAACCCCAAGTCATATGTAACAAAGGTGTACTTAAAGTCACGTGGTTAAGCAGCAACTTCTGGTTACCTGTGAGGCCCCAGCCCATGTCTATATTCCGCCCACAACATCAATTGATGTTGTGTTGTCTAATAATTATGTCGCAACGCTAATTTAGCGTTGCGGAAGCTTCTCTATTTATTTGTGCCAAGAATGCATTAGGATGTATATAAACCCTTGGGGTAGCTGTAAAAGGCGGATCAGCCTTTACTTCTACCCCATTAATATACAGCCCATCAAAGTGTATACTTAGACGGATCAACTGAGGCCTGAGGCGAACAGGGGAACGGAACGTACCGTCCCCAAAACAAGTAAGATCCCTTTCATTACTGCTTAACACTACTGTAAAATACACACCATTGTATGGGGGTCGGCAATCCATGTTGAAGCGTGCCACCCCCACATGACCCACTTTTCCCCATGAAACCTGGTGAGTCCTTTGATCATCTAACAAAGTGCTCAAACTCTCTCCAATCTCTTAATTATTGTTATTAATGCCAATTGTAAGGAAGGGAGGCTGCATATGCACCCCCTCCTAATGCTCTTACTTTGCCTTACTCTTGTTATCATTTGTAACATAGTATATTATAATCAGTTTGTAACTTTGCACAACAGTGCTACATTATTGTATATACTCGGAGACCCTGCAAGCTGCATAGGCTGCATGTGTTAGAATGGGTGGATTCGGACAACTCTGGAGTGGAATCGGAGACTTACTGTGGAAGGACCTCAGCCTCAGTGACTCAAGCGGAGCGCTGTGCCATTGCTGGTTGTCCTGGGGGTCCCTAATTCCGGATCTAGCAGAGGGAAAGTCTCTTGGGGGGAATTCAGGTCGATTTCAGACTGAGGTTACAAGTTACTAGGTACATTGTATATAAGGAGGGGTCCGGAATCAAAAGGAACAAGGGTAGGACTAAAGGAGACAAAGGGAGACGGAATAAGGAACGACACTGAGGGTCAAGGGTTTGACTCAATGGTGTTTCTCAAAGGAGGAATGAAGGGCCAAGGCCCAAGGAGGAAGGAAGGAGGATGGGAGTGGGGAATGGCCAGCTGACTGAATAGAAAGGAAGCAGCAGCCCAAATACAAATGAGGGAGTATAGCGGAATTGAATGGAACAATGCAATAGTTGCAAGGTCCGACATAAGTCCAGAAAGTCCAAACTCGGAAGTTAAACTCCAGAATATTGGCAAACGTAATTAAATGGAATGAGCTAACCAATACAATGGGTATAAGTGGAGGTGGGGTCAAAGTCTGAGGTTGGAGCTAAGACCGGAGGTTCCAGAGACAGAGACGCGAAACGGGATTCCGGAGCAGAGGTCTGGAGTCAGGGGCATAGGTGTTGCATGCTCGTCTGGGAGGTGTCGAGGTTGAGGTTGGACCTGGAATGTTCCGGAGTCGGACTGAAGGTGGTGTTGGAGCCAGAGGTGGGATAACCTCTTGGGAGTCAGCAAGGAGAAGGTGACAGAAGGGAAGTTGGACTCCGGAAGTCAGGTTCGGAGTTCTGGGAGTCCAGAGTGGAGGTCAGGATTGTATGGATATGACAGCATGTGCTCTTCCCCCATGTATATAAACCTTGCATGCAGGTGAGTTAAGGCTTTACACCCTTTACTCCCCCATTGATTATACAGCCTATTATAGCATATCTCTGATGGACTGGGAGTGTGAGGCAATACTCACAACCACTATCATGTTACCATCTTACACTTTTTTACGCTCAGTGGGTTGAATATCAACAACCCCTGCATTATCCAAAGCTTCCATTTGATCGACGTTGCAAAGCATGCTGATCAGCTCATCAGAACCAGCTTTCAGAGTCCTCATGGCACCCAAGAGAGCTCCAGGTTCTCCCTCTGCAAAGAGGACAAGATTGAATGTGCATAATGTCGTGCAGACAGTGGATAGCACCGAGGGTGCTAGAAGCAGTCCCCCAAATGTCCCTCCCGATCCTGGCATGACTCCAGGGCCCCAAGAAGGCCTGGATATGCCGGGTCTGGATCAACCTAGCACTTCAAATGCGCTAGGTATAGAAGCACCTTCTCTTCCTGAGAAGGACCCTCCTGACATGCTGCTAGAGCTGAATAGGCCTCCCAACACTCAAATCCCCAACCCTGTTCCCAATCCTACTAGGCCAGGTGAGGAGACGCCAATACCCAGTGACAGCCTTGACAAGTCTGTCAAGATCATTGACACTGTTGGTGATTGAGTGTCAACTCAACCTCAAGAGCTGGTCAACGACCAGCTCAAAGAAATCATGCAGACATTGACGAGCCTAGTGGCTTGAACCAACACAACAGATGATAGGCTTGATCGCCTATACACACAAGTAGGGATTGCTCTAGCATGTCTCACGAAGAATGATGAGGACCTCAAAGAGGTAAAGGTGGGACTTATTCGTCCCAACCTAGAGTTCTTTTCTTCTTCTTCATCTCCAATCTGATCTGATCTGCAGCTGTCAGTTATGACGCTGCATGATCTTCTATCATTCTTGATCCGATACTACCAGTTATTAGCTAGTTGACTAGTTGCCACCTCTATTGTGTATATGTATATGACCATGTGTTGGGATGGGCATGTCCCCCAGCTTTGATATCAATTAGGTTTCTGGGGCATCCTTCACTGTGAGCATGCATGACCCTGACAGTACAACACCAACCCCCAATTAATATGCCTCAACTTGGGGTGCCTAGTGCATTCTCGCTTGAGCATGTTGTTGCTCAAGAACAGGAACCAAACCATCAGGGAAACCAGATGGATGAAGATGACATAGTCATAGTTGACAATGACTACATACAAACTACTAAGTTTGTCCCCATTCCAGGACACTGTCAGGGCACGCTGCTCCGCTCCACACCACACCCTCCCACTGCTCCTCTTTCCTACTTCTCCCTCTTTCCCTTTCTCCTTTGTCTTCCTTCTTTCCTTTCTTTCCTTTCTTTCTTTATATGGACGACCTCTCCCCTTACCCATGTAGCACAGATGTGTCCGGCACTGAGTACCCCACATGGATACTGCGCTGCTGGATATGCTGCGCATCTTCACTTGTACTTCTCCCCTCTGACACCCAGGACCACCCATGGAGCCATCTGCAATAACCCGGCTCCACCTGGGCTGATGTGGCACCCCTGTCAGGGCATGGACGGTTATCCGGCCGGTGTTAGAACCGGGCGGATTCGGACAACTCCGGAGTGGAATCGGAGACTTAGCGTGGAAGGACCTCGGCCTCAGCGACTCAGGTGGAGCGCTGTGCCATTGCTGGTTGTCCTAGGGGTCCCTAATTTCGGATCTAGCAGAGGGAAAGTCTCTTGGGGGGAATTCATGTCGATTTCGGACTGAGGTTACAAGTTACTATGTACATTGTATATAAGGAGGGGTCTGGAATCAAAAGGAACAAGGGTAGGACTAAAGGAGACAAAGGGAGATGGAAAGAGGAACAACACCGAGGGTCAAGGGTTTGACTCAATGGTGTTTCCCAAAGGAGGAGTGAAGGGCCAAGGCCCAAGGAGGAAGGAAGGAGGTTGGGAGTGGGGAATGGCTAGCTGACTGAATAGAAAGGAAGCAGCAGCCCAAATAGGAATGAGGGAGAGTAGCGGAATTGAATGGAGCAATGCAATAGTTGCAAGGTCCGACATATGTAAGTCCGGAAAGTCCGAACTCGGAAGTTAAACTCTGGAATATTGGCAAACATAATTAAATGGAATGAGCTAACCAATACAATGGGTATAAGCGGAGGTGGGGTCAAAGTCCAAGGTCGGAGCTAAGACCGGAGGTTCCGGAGACAGAGACGCAAACGGGATTCTGGAGCGGAGGTCCAGAGTCGGGAGCATAGGTTTTGCATACTCGTCTGGAAGGTGTCAAGGTTGGGGTCGGACCCGGAATGTTCTGGAGTCGGACCGAAGGTGGTGTCCGAGCCAGAGGTGGGATAACCTCTTGGGAGTCGGCAAGGAGAAGGTGATGGAAGGGAAGTAGGGCTCCGGAAGTCGGAGTTCGGACTTCCGGGAGCTGTCAGGGCATGGGAATACGTTACCGTGACTCGCTGTCGGCGACCGTTAAGGTCCGCTGCTTTGGCGTAACAGCCTGTCAAGGGCGGGGATGACAATCGCGGCGGAAAGGGGTTTCGGCTTCAACGACTCGTTCGTGAGTGTTGCACCTCGTACTTGACGCGGCCCCGATATTTCTGGAGGCAGGAGGTGCGACTGGGTCAGACAGAGAGTGTGGGGGGTAACCCTAGTTGATTTTCGAACTGCAGTACTAGGTAGTGTACAACCGGTATTTAAGTATAACGGAATGAATGGAATTAAGTCGCCAGATCTCATGGAGATTGCGGGTGGGGTTAAGAAGAAATGAAAACAAACAAAGAGTGTGGGAGAAAGATGGCCGTGTACGGCCGTCAAGAAAGACAAGCGTGATAAAGAAAGACTCGTAGGCCCGTGACGGGCCATGGAAACAGGTAGTGGTGACGGTGTAGGCGGGATAATCGCCCACACGCAGAGCCGGCTCGGATATCCATTTACACCATTCAAAAATCATCTTCATTCGTTCTATAATTCGATACAAACTTGGTACCTAAAAATACTCCTAATTCTTGCGAATCCGTCGATGTCAAGATCGTCCCAATCGGTGGAGATTTGGTGGAGTTAAGTGTTGGGGAGGTTGGCCACGGCGCGGGTCACGGGATCTGGTCATGTGCGGGCGTGGGAAGTTCAATTTAGGCAAGCGGGAAGTCAGAAAAGCATGCTTCACACATTCCCAAGGCATCAAATAAATTGGGAAAAATGTTCTTTAGCCGCGTAAAGGTTATTCCCAACCACATTTCCAGTTTCGGGTACTAATTTTGTGAAATCATTGATAAATTCTCGATTTTCTTCATATTTTCACATTTTTACCATCATTTTGATATATTGGATGATATTCTTTTATTCCTTTGATGCCCTTTTCAAATATTTCGCTTACGATGGGGTCCAGGAGCCATATGGCGCCAATATTTCCCATCAATCATTTCTAAAAATGTTTATTCCTTATAATCCTGTACATACCGGGATTGAAAATTAAGTTCTCCCCTCCCTAATTTTCTCTAAGGCGCTAGGACGCGTCAGAGTTAGTGTGTGTGTGTGTGGAATTCCTACAGTAGGAGTAAGGGCAGTTGTCTAGCCCACAAAGAGTGGGTAGTGGATACTGAGCCCGGACCTTGCGGAATTTCCGGAGAATTTCCAGGAGTTTTAGGATCGAGGCCAGTGGAGAAAAGGAGTTCTTGTGGAGAGTTTCCCCCACGAGCTTGGTTGGCGCTGAGAGCCCCTAGCTCTCTTGCAACGGGGAAGGGTGGTGGGCTTGTTCAGGCGGCATCGGGCAGGTAGCGGGGTTGACGGGGTCGAAGCGGGGAAGGAAGAAGGTGTGGGGAATGATCACCTGACCGTGGGAATTGCCGGGTCGTGACAGGAGCCCGGAGTGGAGGTCGGGATTGTATGGATATGACAGCCAGCCCGGACCCCTATCCGGATAGGTTGAGTACCCATAAGCCGATATCTGCATGTGATTTGCTGTAGTTAGAATTCAGGCTGTATTCAATGCGCTATTTCCGCTATCGCGTCATCCCTCACCCGTTATCGCCCCCTTATCCGCATGATCTATTCTCCTATCTCATGTCGCTTCTCTATCGGCTACCATGTGTTCCCAATGTAGCCGCGGTCTTATGAGTTGTGGAACTCATGTATATAAGGCCTTATTGCCAGCTGGGTTGGCCCCCCAGCTTTTACAATGACTAGTTTCCCAGGGAGATTCTTACGTGCGAACTGACACGCGGACTCTGACAACCCCCCACATGACCCATTCCCACCTGTATACAAACTGAGCCGAAGCAGAACTGAAGAAGCAGCCTTCTTCTCACTACTGCTTCAGGCAAGTGTCTTACTTTAGTTTAGCTTAGTCTTTCATCCTAATAACAATCACTACTGCTTCAGCCTAAGAAGCCAGACAGGGATGCAAGCCCAAGTGAGGGCCATTCACTATACATTCCCACCACTCCACTGCCGCCTGGGCCGCTACCCCCACCTCTCCTGTATCATCCCTGACAGACACCCCAGTGTGAGGATGATGACAATCATCCCTCGCCATGAGGAGTCTGAACTGGGAAACATGATGAACTTGTTGCCCAAGAGGATCCCTTCCCATCTGAAGGGGAAAGCTGTTGACTGGGGCCCCACAGGCCCTCCTTTCTCCCTGAGGCAAACTCAAACATTGCCTAGGTTGCCCCCTAATAATGAGGAGGAGCCTGCCATCCTTATTAGTTTGATGGATGAAGGTGACGTTGATCAAGATGTTCCTCAGTCCCGGACCCTTAGACATGGGTCCGGACGAGCCCTCATTATTAACAGAGAAGGCAAGATAAAAAGGAAACAAAGGACTATCTTTGCTCCTCGCACCCATAGTGAAACATCAATCAAATATGGAATGCAGATAGATGGCGATGCTGACTATGTGCACAAACCAGAAGGATTAGATGCCCATGCATGGGAAATCAAACGTAGGCTTAATTCCTACAGCTGATTTACCGCACCAGACCCATGCAATGGGTTCTATGGAATGCTGGGCCAGGATAGGCCCAGTAGAGGTAATGGGCTGAATAATCTCTTCGGAGCGCCAAGGCAGAATGCCTCAACTCCTCAGCCAACAATACACACACTCCAAGATCCAGTTGGAGGGGCAACACACCCTATTGTCATATCACCAGTGAAGAAGGAAAGGGAGCCTAGCTCCCAAGTCTTTGGGACCATGGGTTCTGCCCTCCCTCAAGTGGCGAGCTTGGCTGTTCCTCCTGATGGATTTGTCGAATCCACACTAAGATCCTATTTGCAGGATCCAAATAGTTTAGCGCCTGGTGACCCAGAAGGGTTCATGGAGGAGTTAGTTCATCGTATTGAGAACCTAGTTAAGATGCAGATCTTGACTCCCCTACCACCCAATGTTAAAACAGAGTTACTTAAAAAGAACTCTGTCCCATTCCCCACAACCTTATGGTCTGGGGAAAACAATCTCGAGAATTTCGAGAGTTGGCTTGTGGAACTCACTTCCTGGATCTCAGGAAATGGGTGGAAGGGTGAGGGTTATAATGAGCTCCATGTAGATGCTCTATCCCACACCTTAGATGGTGACCCCAAACAGATCGTGCTTCATGACATGAAGCAAGGATTCAGGAGGGGGTTAGTCCCC